ACCTGTACTTGGCATGCACACCCATGTTCCAGGCTGGCTTCAGGACCCTGGGCAGGATTGCTGGGTTAAGGGTGCCTGTCTCTCTCTAAAAATAAACTAACTTAAAAGAAAATTATGGCTTTAAAAAATATAAACTATGGAACCACCGGGTGGTGTAGTGGTTAAAGTGGTTGGATCTTACATGGCCAACTACGTGGTTCTAGTCCTTGACCCAGAGGCTTGAAAAACATGCTGGGCATGTGTTCATGCACGCCCAAAATCCTGAGATGAAAATGGAGAAGGGATTGTAGCATCCCCCCCTGGGGGATGGGTAGAGGGGTGATTTCTTTTTTTTTTTTTTTGGAGAGGTTTTCTGCTATAGGGCGCGTGCGCTCGCCAGACAGACAGAGAGAGACATAGAGACAGAACGCGAGAAATCACCCACCAGAGGGGATGGTCACGCTGCAATCCCTTCTCCTCCATTCTCCTCTCAGGATCTTGGACACACATGCACACGTGCCCGGCGTGAGTTTTAAACCACCGGGCCCGCGAAGTGGACTGCAGTTGACTACGTGGGAGTCCAGCAACATAGCTATTATGCTAACTGCTGGTTCCCAGGGGTGATTTCTTACTTTCCTTCTCTCTTTCTGTCTCTCTTTGGCAAGTGTATGTGCCCCATAGCAAAATTAAAAACAAAAAAATTATTTAACTTTGTTTATTTAAATTTGACCAGAGAGGGACAGAAAAAGAAAGAGAGAGAGAAAGTGAGAAAGCAAGCAACTGCCAGGTCTGGGGACTAGACCATGTTAGCCATGTGGGAGTCCAGAGCCCTTAACCACCATGCCACCTTCCCCCTGCAGCAAATTAAAAAAGAAAAAAAGAAAAAGAAAAAGAAGTTATTAAATAGACCACCCCCCAAAATGGTGAAATTATCTAAAAGCATAACCAAACATTACCTCTGGTATGGGAATAGGTAATTGTCATGGAACGTTATCTTTCAGAATTAGAACTGTATGGAAAGCAGCTTAGTTCATTTCATTAAAGCATTATTATATTATCCAAATAAATAAATATTTTTCCTCACATTTTAGTAAGTGTGTAGTGTGTTTTCAAATTTCCACGTCAGAGGTTCTAGGGACAGAGAGGGAAATTGGTTCCCGCTTTCGGGGAGCTATAGGCTAGTAACAGAAGATAAATGAAATCAAATTTATAGTGATATTCATTTCCAGCAGTTTGGCAAACTGTACAATCTAAATTAATCTCTGCCACAATGGTGTATTACTGTGGTCACAAGAAATTATGGAAAATCTCCAAAGGGAAAAATGACGATGATAAGAAGAAGACAGTGAAAAACAAACAAAGCTGAAGCCTTTAAAAAAAAAAATAAGCATAGGGACCAGCAGTTAGCATAATGGCTATGCCGCTGGACTCCCATGTAGTAGACCATGGTTCGAGTCCTGGACCCAGTGGCTTAAACTCACACCGGGCACATGTGCGTGCGTGCCCAAGATCCCGAGAGAAGAATGGAGGAGAAGGGATTGTGGCGTGGCCATCCCCCCTGGGGGGGTGATTGCTCGCTTTCTATCTCTCTGTCTCTCTCTGTCTTTCCAGAGAGCACACGCGCCCAATAAGAAAAAATACCTCTCCAAAAAAAAAAGAAAAAGAAAAAAAAAAAGCATAAAATCTAGTTTCACTGGAGAAGCCTTGGGGCTAATGTAAGGAGGTGTAAAAACTCAACTCCCCCATTAAGTTGAAACCTTGAGGGCTAAAGTGGGCAGAAGCTGGGCTAGCAGGTAGTGTGGAAGTTAAGTGCTGACCCCCACATGGCGAACTGGGTGGTTTGAGCGAGTCCTGGACTTAGTGGCTTGAAAATCACATGGGGTGTGTGTATGTGTCTGCCCAGGATCCTGGGAGGAGAATGGAGATTGTGGTGTGGTCTTCCTCCCTAGAGAGTGATTTCTCAATTTTTCACTTTCTCTGTCTCTCTACCTCTGTCTCTGGCAAGCAGTGGTACCCTACAGTAAAAACTTAAAAGAAAAAAAAAAAGTGGTCACAAGCTGATGGCCGCATGTGAGTCAAAGGACAAGCAATTGTTAATTCTCTCTCAAGAGCAGCATGCAGGCGGCTCAGGTTAGTTTCCTAAGAGTCCCACCCATAATCTTCCAAGTTAGAAAAGTCAGAAGAAAAATTTGTTAAATACGTGAAGACACAAGTCTTCATTTTGTGTCGGCAGAAAAATAAAACATATAGATCACCATGACCTCATACTGGATTTTTAAGTTCTTCCTGACTGCCAAATTACACGTTGCTCTAAATTATTCTCCACCCTTGTTAATGTGCACCTGGTTTCATTGCTGCTGTGCGCTGTCTGCTGGGGCCTGAGTGCTCATTCCCTTTTAAATACTCAGAGGGAAGACTGCTGCTTCAGTCTACTCGTGAATCAATCTTCAAATTCACAAGGTAATTGCCTGCCCCTTGTTTCAGAAATAGTTGAACCAATTTATACTCCCAGGAGTAATATAAGAGAGCCTATGCAACACTTGCTGTTGTCACTTTCTCACTTTTTCCAACTGAATGCAAAACCGTATTTCATCATGGTCTTGTATTTGCATTTCCTTGATGACTAATTGAGCTGAAATCTCTTCAATGCCCATTGACCATGTTTTTCTGCTCCTTTACCTATTTTTCTATTGACTCATTTGGACTTCGTTTTAATTTTTATCCAACTATTTACCTAGTCTATTACATTATCCTTGGGCACAGGATAAATTATTTGGTCGTTGGGAAAGTCATGATGCATTTTGCATAGGAAAGAGTCATGACTTCCCCGATGATGGAATAAATATCCAGCATTTAAATCTGGCATTTATCTGTTTCAGATATTTTGTTCTTAAACCAGGGGACACAGTTCAGGTTTGGAAAATAGGATCGTCAAGACTAGTTACTAGCCTAAGGTTCAGAGAAAAATGAAGAGTTCTTGAGCACAAATAAGTTACATTTTCTAAGGAACATAAGACATGATCAAAAAATAGCTAGGCTGCTCTATTACACAGGTACAAAGAATTGAGTTCATTACAAAAGAAAAAAAAGCAAAACAAAAACCAAAACCCAGTAAATTAAACACTTAAGGAGTAGATGTTATAAATTGTTATACAATGTTATTTCCATTTTTCTTTTATTCTTATTCTCAATAATTTCATCTGATTCATACCAAATCAGTCGTTAAATAGAGGTTATTTAACATTTTATTTCTTTATTCATGACAGAATGCCGACATGCTCATGAGAGGGAGAAAAACCAGATCCTTCCCTGGGGGCTGGTCATGTTGGGATCCCTTTCCAAGTTCCCCACCTCATTGGATCTTCATCACTTTTTCACGTGCCATGTATATTTCAGGGCAGGGGTCCAGGATTCCAACTCAAATAGCCGTGGGGAATTAAGTTTTTAAATTTTTTTTTTTTTTTAAGGTTTTGCTATAGGGCCGGGCATTGGTAGAAGAGCTAGATGGTGAGAAATCACCCCCCACCCGGGGGTATGGCCACACCGCAATCCTTTGGCCAATGTCCGGATTCCAAATGTAGTCAGCCATGCGAGAGAGTCCAACGCCGTAATCACTACGCCACCTGCTGGCCGCCAATTCACCTTCTCTTGAGCACATTACCGCAAGACCGCTGGCTAGCCAGAAACAGGAATCTTATCTACCTAAATTTACTCATTTGATCAGTCAACAAATATTAAGAGCCCTGCAGTGTACCATACTGTTTCACTTGCATTCACTTGCTTCTAGGACTGTATCGCTATCCTAGAAATTAACACAGTATCATGAATACGCTGAGTGAAATGTTAGCAAATAGGGGCGGGACCTCCACGGCAGAATAGGTGGCACGAATTCAAGCGCTGTGGAATTTGAACCCGATAGGACTGGGTTCAAATTCGGACTCCAGTTGTTGAACGGAATTTAAAGTTTAACCCCCTAGAGATGGGAAACCCCCCCACAGTGACTCCAGCCTACTACCCCCAGGAAGTTAAGTGACTCCACATTTAGAAAAGCTAAAGCAGTAGGAGACTGGTTACTGCTACATGGATTACTCCACATCTTGGGGTTCTAAAACCGTACAAACTGGCCAACAGTGAGATTAGATTTCTGTTCCCGCCTCGCCTCACTAGCGCCCCTGACCACCTGCTCGGAGGTGGGTCCCCTGGTCTTTGAGCCCTAGCCCGGCCCCGGGAAGGCGCGCCCCACAGGCCAGCCCTGCGCTCCGCCTTGGTTGGCGGTCTCCCAGCCGCACCACGCGGTCCCACAGCTCTCTCGCCTACGTTCTCACTGAATTTAGTGGAATCCAACACGCATCTACCCCTGAACAGGGCCTTTACAATTGAGTCCTGGTTTAATCTCCGACTGCGCCGGGGTCCCTAGGGACCGGCAGAGCCCTTCCTAAGCGGCGGTCTCCCGGGACCAGGCGAGGCTCCAGCCATGCCTTTGAAGAGGAGCCGTGCTGCTGGCAGACTCGAGCACCGCCGCGTGCTCTGCCTGGGGCACCGGCCAGCTTTTTCGTGCAGCTGACTCGCAAAAACTGCAAAGGCCCGCATGTTGTTGGCTAGTGGTCTTGTAGCTAGCAAGGCTGCAGGGAGCCACACAGGGGCAGCGTTCCGCGCTCGGCGGTAGCACTCTAAGGCCCCGGCGTCTGGCGTCCTGAGCAGTCAAGCGACGGAGCTGCCGGCAGGCACCGGCCCTTTGGACCTCCGGCGCAAATGGAAGAGGCGGGTAGCC